TGATATAGTCAGGGGTTAGTATTATAGACAGAAGGTCAAAACTAACACGAATAAAAACTCAGGCTAATAAACACATAAATAGCTAACTGCTGTAATAACAACCCCATAATGCTTCAGTGGCATGAGGCAATACAAGTTTTTCTCATTCACGTTTAGTGTAATGTAGGCCAAGGTGGGAGGCCCTCTACTTCACAGAGACATTTAGTGACTCAACTTTCTTCCACTTCGGGAACTTTCCATCTTTTAAGGCCTCCTTTGCGTTTAGCTGATAGATGGCTGGGGAAATACAGATTGTGTGCCTTGACCTGGAAATGATGTCATTGCTGCCCACATTTCACTGGCAAGAACTAGTCATTTGACCCCCACCCAGAAGCAGATTTTCTTTAAGACTTCTAGGCTCCTGGGGTTACCTGTCAGGGCAGGAAGAGAGGGAAATAGTGTGAGGCTTAGCTTTGTTTTTGGAGAAAGTCTCTGGTTACAAACAGGCTATGATGGAAGTGGATAGTGCAGGAGGGAACTGGGGCCCTCCTAGTGGGAAGGTTTAGGGAGGAAAGTGAGTGAAGAAATATTTAACCGTGATGATCAGGCTGAAAAATAGCCCCCAAGGTTCATAAATCTCAAAATTTCCTCTTCACTTACAACCCCACAAACATGCTACAGAACTCTCTGCCAGTAGCTTTGAACTGGGGATGGGGTCCCTATTTCCACTGCCAACTGAGAGGAAGCATGAAGCAACCAGAAGGCCAGATCTCATGTTTCTGTAGTGAAGAGAGGTGTGTTCTTGGCATTCTAACATCATCTACATTCATAGTAGCAGACCTTTTGTGCTATGATATATTTCATGTATTTTATGGAGAGTGAGAAATTTTGGGAGTTCAGTATTTCCACAGCTGCCCATGTACATTCTAGTATGTTAAGTTAAAAAATTAGTCACACTTCTTTTTTAATTATACATTATCTTTTAAAATATATGTCCTATAAAGTAGACTTTAAAGTCCAAACTTTATATAAATGGTGATTTACATTATAGTGTTCTTGAATCAAATGCACTTATTTCACCGGAAATTCTCTGAATTATTTAAACTGAAGTTAATTGGACTTTGGTAATCTAGAGGCAAGGATGAAATATTTGAATATGTATATCTATTAAAATGATTTTTGCTTATGTGTCGTTCTTTATATAACTGGTTAAAGTGACCTGGAATAGCTTTCATGTCTCATTTTATTAATGATTTTCTTTAAAACTAGGCTTCTGGGGTTACCTGTCAGGACAGGAAGAGAGGGAAATAGTGTGAGACTTAGCTTTGTTTTGTGGAGAGTCTCTGGTTAGAAACAGACTATGATTTTATCAATGAAACATGAAAGCAAACATGATAAACTTCTCTGGTAAAACTAGAAACGAGGGCTATATGAAGTAATTGGAACTACTGGTAAATATTCCTAGTGATAACCTGAACATAGCCAAGAGTTTCTACCTTAATCAGGGGAAAATCTAGGCTTAAGATAGGAGCTGGGCAAAATTGTTAGAGCAGTTAATGGATTTGTTTCCCTACTTTGCATCTCATTTTGTGGAAGTGATTTTCAGTGTCAATTGTTTGTTTTGACACAGAGTTTGGCCCTGTTGCGCAGGCTGGAGTGGATCACAGCTCACTGCAGCCTCCACTTCCTGGGTTCAAGCCAGCCTGCTACCTCAGCCTTCTGAGTAGCCGGGACTACAGGTGCTTGCCACCATGCCCAGCTAATTTTTATGGTTTTTGTAGAGACAGGGTTTTACCATGTTGCCTAGGCTGTTCTCAAACACCTGAACTCAAGCGATCTGCCCACCTCCACCTCCCAAAGTGCTAGGATTACAGGCGTGAGCCACTGCACCCAGCCTTCACTGTCAGTTGTAAAGCTCATGCTTGCTTTTCCTAATGGGAAGATTTTTGTGTCATGATATAATTCCCCTCTCTCCTCCTCTAATGAGTAGCTGTTATCCCTGTAAACTAAAGAGAAGAGAAATACCTGTAGTATATATTTAATTATTGAGGTCTACTTCTTGAATTCTTTCATGCTAGTCCCATTTGTAACAATTGTTTGCCTCCCAGAAGTGTGTCTCTGGAGGAGGGTGCTGACTTCTGTGCCCTCTGGGGCACCCTTAACCAAGGACTTAGATGTTTGTCTGCTCAGAGGTCTTTCAGCTATCTATCCATGACCATGGACGTCAGTTCACAGCCCTGGCTGTTCCTCAGAGATCTAAGTAACCACTTTGATGATTTCAGGATTCTCTTAGATATTTGTAATAAATCGGTTCCTTTTTTATTCCAGTTCAGGAGTTCTGTAGGCAGCTTTCTCAGCCCTTAGTTGTTGTTTTTGTTGAGGGGAGAGCATGGAAAGTTTCTGTAAACCTTGTTTGGGATATTCAATTCTCACAGTATCTGTGGGTAAGTAGCCCCCCAGCATAGAAGCTTAGTATTTGTTGCTGTCCTTGGATCATCAAACGTTGGGGTGTGGATAGCAAGCTCTCTTGGCCATTGGTACCCTACATTATCATTATTGACTATTTAAAAGAAAGACTCTGACATCTCTTTAAAGATGTCTGAAAGTTGTAGACATCTGACTACAATAAAAGACATTCAGAAGTTTTAACACCCTTCAAAGCTGCTAAGTTACAGCCTGTGTCATTACAGTAATAAACTTTCCTCCAAGAGTTGACATTTCATAATTATGCTTAGGAATATTATTGATTAAATGGGATATCAGTATAAAGCAAATTTCAGCTTATGTTTGCATTGATAAACATGATTTATAAAAGGTAGATTACTTATAAGATTGGATATAATGTTGCTGGTGTTTTTACTTTAAATATTGGAATGTAATTTCTAAAATAAAGTTGTTTTTATATTTACAGAAAAATTAAGAATAGAGTTCCCATATACTTGCCTCACTCCACACACACAATTTCACCTATCATTAACCTCTTGTAGTAGTATGGTACATTAGTTATAATTAGTGAATAAATATTGATACATTATTGCTGACTAAAGTCTACAGTCTATTTAGATTTCTTTTTTTCTTTTTTTTTTTTGAGATGGAGTTTTGCTCTTGTCGCCCAAGCTGGAGTGCAATGGCGCGATCTCGGCTCACTGCAACCTCCGCCTCCTGGGTTCAGGCGATTCTCCTGCCTCAGCCTCCCAAGTAGCTGGGACTACAGGCATGCACCACCATGCCTGGCTAATTTTGTATTTTTAGTGGAGATGGGGTTTTGCCATGTTGGCCAGGCTGGTCTTGAACTCCTGACCTCAGGTGATTCATCCACCTCGGCCTCCCAAAGTGTTGGGATTACAGGCGTGAGCCATTGCACCCGGCCTCTATTTAGATTTCTTTAGTTTTTACTTAATGTTCTTGTATTAGTCTGTTCTCATGCTGCTGATAAAGATATACTTACTTGAGACTGGGCAATTTATAAAAGAAAGAGGTTGAATTGACTCACAGTTCCATAGGGCTGGGGAGACCTCAGGAAACTTAACAATTGTGGTGGAAGGGGAAGGAAACACATCCTTCTTCATATGGCAGCAGCAAGGAGAAGTGCAGAGTGAAGTGGGGGAAAGCCCCTTATAAAACCATCAAATTTTTTGAGAACTCACTGTCCCAAGAACAGCCACCCCCATGATGCAATTACTTCTCACTGGGTCCCTCCCACGATGTGTTGCGATTATGGGAACTACAATTCAAGATGAGATTTGTATGAAGACACAGCCAAATCATATCAGTCTTCTTTCTGCTGAAGTATCCGATCCACATAAATTGTCATGTCTACTTAGGCTCCTTTTGGCTATGACAGAATCTCAGACTTTCATTGCTTTTGTTGTCCTTGATAGTTTTGATGAGTACTTAACAGATATACTATAGGTTACTCCTCTTGGAATTTGTTGTTTTTCTCATGATTAGACTGGAGTTGTGGGATTATGTGATAAGACTTTAACTTTGTAAGGAATTGCCAAACTCTCTTCCAAAGTGGCCGTACAATTTTACATTCTCATCAGCAGTGAATGAGAATTACTGACACTTCATATCCTTGTCAATATTTGGTAGAGTCAGCTTTTGGGACTTAAGCCATTCTAGTCAATATGCAGTGGTTGGGATGTAATTTTTTTTTTTTTTTTTTTTTTTTTTTTGAGACAGTCTCACTGTCACCCAGGCTGGAGTGCGAGTGGCATTATCTCAGCTCACTACAACCTCCGCCTCTTGGGTTCAAGTAATCCTCCTGCCTGGCCTTCCTGAGTAGCTGGGATTATGGGCACCCACCACCATGCCCAGCTAATTTTTGTATTTTTAGTAGAGATGAGGTTTCACCATGTTGATCAGGCTGGTCTCAAACTCCTGACCTCAAGCAATCCACCTGCCTCAGCTTCCCAAAGTACTGAGATTACAGTTGTGAGCCAACATGCCCAACCAGGATGTAATTTTTAAAGTTGGTCATTTAGTCTTACTGTCATACTTTTTATGTTGAGCATTCCTAATCCAAAAATCTGAGATCTAAAATGCTCAAAAATTTGATCTTTTTGAGTGCCAGTATTCCGATTTTCGAATCAAGGATGCTCAACCTGTAAATATAATGCAAATGTTTCAAAATCGGATACAATCAAATTCAAAACCCTTCTTGGTCCTAAGCATTTTGGATAAGGGATATTCAACTTGTGTGATAACTGACTATAGAAGCATTAGCTTTCTCCTAATATTCCTCTTTAAATAAGCATTAAGAAGAGAATGTGTTAACAGATATTTAATAGCATTTCACTTATTTTGTTAAAATTACCTGTTCTCTTTGCTTTCATTACTAACCCCTTATCAGCTACATTCCATTGGTGTTAAGCTACACTCTGATGTTAATGTCTCCTGTTTAACTGCTTTTGGTTAATTATTTATTCTCATTTTCCATTCTTCAAAGTCATTTTTGCTTTTTGTTTGTTTGTTTTTATTTGTTCATAAAGCTTTTTTGTTTCTGTTACATTATGTAGTTTTGTACCAATGGCTAGAAGCAGATCGTCATGGCAAGAGCCAAGATGCTGCAAATACGACTTCAGGTAAAAATAAAATTAAAAACAAGGATGGGCTGTTATAAATCATTGTTTTAAGTGACCCCAAGCCCATTGTAAATGTTTCTTTATTCAGTTTTGCTTGGTCAGACTTACAGATGTTATTTTATGTTTCTCTTCTCTCATCTGCATCTTAATTTTCATAAAGACCTCATTTGCTTCAAGCCTTGAAAACATGTATTCAGTAGCCTTTAAGCTCTCTTGGCAGATATTTCCTACTTTCTTAGGAGGAAAAGCTTCAATTTAGTAGGAGGTTATTTGGCAGTATTACTTGGAGTTAAGCTGATATGTAGCTGTGGTAGTTGTACAAATTTATAGTCCTTGTTTGTTTTAAGATAATATTTAAAAGGTAAATTTTAAGTACAGGATGCATATGTAATTTTCATTTCCTGGGAATCCAAATTCTTAGACTTAGTTATTCTCCTGTGTGTGTGTTCCCCCCACCCCAGCAGTAAATTCTAAGTTAGAGCTTTATGAAACATGTGTTTAAAATGAGAAGTATAGGTTGTTCCCCCATCTCTCATCCCCAAAAGTCATCACCAAGATTCTCTTATTTTGGCTGGTGCTGGTAGGAATAGCTGCATCCAGTCATTTCTAAATTCTTTTTTTGGGGGGGATGGAGTCTCACTGTGTCACCCAGGCTGGAGTGCAGTGGTGTGATCTTGGCTCACTGCAACCCCCACCTCCCGGATTCAACTGATTCTCTTGCCTCAGCCTCCTGAGTAGCTGGGATTACAGTTGCATGCCACTATGCTTGGCTAATTTTTGTATTTTTAGTAGAGACAGGATTTTGGCACATTGGCCAGGCTGGTTTCGAACTCCTGACCTCAAGTGATTCACCCGCCTCAGCCTCCCAAAGTGCTAGGATTACAGGCATGAGCCCCTGTGGCCGGACCATTTCTAAATTCTTAACAGTGATACCAGAATTCCAAAATAATTGGTTCTTCCTCTAATATCCTTCCAAATCATATTTGCCAAGACAGCTGTGTATATATAGCAATGATCTTTCCTGTTATCCCTTTTTTAAGCAATCTAATAAGTGGAGTGGTGGTGGTTTTGCTTTTCTTTTGTTACATTTGTTACTGTTTTGTGGCTTTTTTTGTTTTTGTAACATTATTTCTTTCTGGAAGTGGTTTCCTTCTAGTGGATTATTTGTGCCTCAAGAAGGTGCAGTGTTCCTTAGTTAATAGAACAATTATATTGAGAATGGCACTTTTATGACCTTTCTGATATATCTCCTGTTCCATTACTAACTTGATACATGAATGAAGATAATGTTATTTTAACTATACACAGGCAGAACTGAATTAAAAGGTAAGTGTTACAAGGAGTTATATGATAGGTTATGTCATGTTTCTTCTGCTTCTGCAGTATTTCATATTTTATTTACATTTATGGATAATAAAAGCAAGTATTTCTGGTGTTAGAGGGTAGGTGAAGGAGAGGGTTTCTCGATGGCTGTATACCATGAAGATACGCTGTTGCTTTGTCAGTGCACAATCAGCAGCATAGACTTTATAACTAGGAAGAATTTTGTTTTTTTCTCTAAAGTAAATGAAAAGTAACTTTTAAAAATCTTTCTTTTCTTTTCCTTTCTTTACTCTCTCTCTCTTTCTCCCTTTTCCCTTCCCTTCCCCTCCCTCCCTCCCTCTGTCCTCTCTCCCTCTGTCCGTCCTCCCTCGCTCGCTCGCTCCCTCCCTCCCTCCCTCCCTCCCTCCCTCCCTCCCTTCCTTCCTTCCTTCCTTCCTTCCTTCCTTCCTTCCTTCCTTCCTTCTCACCCTCCAGCCTCCACCCTCCCCCTTACTTTCCTTTCTTTCGAGATGAGGTTTCACTGTGTTGCCCAGGCTGGTCTCAAATTCCTGGGCTCAAGTGATCTGCCCACCTCAGCCTCCCAAAGTGCTGGGATTACAGGCATGAGCCACCATATTCTGGCCAAGTAACTTTTTTACTGAAGAAGTGAGTAATTTAAAATTTCTTAGTGTTCACAGGAAAATGTAGCATCAGCTTAAAAACATCATGGACTCTTCCTAAAATCAGTTCTGAGCCCTGAATCTGTTCTTTGGCCACATTGACTCTCATGGACAGTTTCACATTCCTCTGCTGACTTTTTGATGCTTACATACTCTAGAAGCATGGTGCAAAAATTGATAAACTCTACTTAGGGATATCTTTGACAATTTCTCTTCTAGAAATGAGTGCTCTCAACTCTTAGAAGATGGAAGTATAGAGTAGAAAAATACAGAGATGAAATGTTTGCCTAAATAAGTCAGAGGAATCTAAATAAAATAATCATCATTAGCCAAGGACTTCAATTAGAAATAGTAGTTTAGTTGCCTCAGCAAATACTTAAATTATGTGTCCTCGTTCAAAAAAGTTCCTATGTATTTTATATTGTAGTCTCCAGCAAGATTTTTGAGTGCGACTTTTTCTTCCTTCTGTGATCTGTTTTGCATTCCAAGGTGTTATTTCTTTTCTTTTTTTTTTTTTTTTTTCATATTTTTACCCAAAATAGAAACTGAGTCTAACTGGAAGTCAAATACAACTCATAAATCAAATTGCTTTGTGATATTTTTAATAGTATAAATACTGTTAAGTGACATTTATCTTTTGCTGTAACAGCTAGTATTTTGTACTTAATTAGAACTCTAAAAGTAGGAAAACACAGAACACAATAAAATTGCTGCAAGGTCTTCTAGTTCCTTGATCCCAGATTTTTGACATCGAGAATTTCAGATCCATCTATCTTAAAATATTTCATGAAACATTTAGGGATAATAGGTCTTAAGGGAATTACTCTGGTTGAGGAGGTTAAAAAAACTAATCTGATAGCTATTATTGAATTTTCAATTTTTTACTTTTCAAAAATTTATTTTTTTAAAAAAAAGAAAAGAAACAGTGTCTCACCATGTTGCCCAGGCTGGTTTCAAATTCCTAGGCTCAAGCAGTCCTCCTACCTCAGCCTCCCAAAGTTCTGGGATTACAGACGTGAGCTACTGTGCCTGGCCTGAATTTTCTTATATGTAATTAAAATGTAGCCTACTTTTATCTTTCCAGAATTTTGCCAGATAATGAATTTAACTTAGGATAGCTCATTTATTTTAAAAGGTTAGTATGTTTAATGTGTTCTGTCTACTAAACAGGATGACTCAGCAATGATGTTTGTAATTCTGTTAGTTTTGTTCCTTAACATCCTGGATATGCAGTCACATTTCTCAGAGATTTTTGTGGAAACTCAAGCCAAATTGCCTCCTTTGAGCACTATAGCTTGGGGGTCTAAGTGTGTATAAAATTTTAGGATCATAAGACATATGATTCGTTTAATACAAGACATTTATTTTCTGAAGTAAATGTTTTCATATAGTTTTTTTATTACCACACACTGAAATGTGGACCATAATTAGGTTACAGCAATGATTATATTACCATATTTTGATTTTTAGTATCAGTTGAGTGACCAGGATTTTAAAATTCAGATTCTGAAGTTTTAAATGCTGCTCTGTTGTTAAGTTTTTCAGTTGTCCACTGGGATTTTACAAGTCAGATGGTTAGAGGCAGAAATTGTATCAGATCTCAACATTATCAGTCAGTAGTAGGTCTATAAAATAAATATAAAACTATGACATGCTTTTGGAAAAGTTCTAGATACTAACTATGTATTAATTATTTGTTGTAGGTGAAAATTTTGACCAGAGTCCTTTGAGAAGAACATTCAAATCCAAAGTTCTCGCCCATTATCCTCAGAATATAGAATGGAATCCTTTTGATCAAGATGCGGTTAACATGGTATGTGTTTTTTCCCCCTCATTTTCTCTTTAGCCTTGTTTTTACTTTATTAAGATGAAGGTAGTGACTGTATTTTGAATTTATTCTTTATTTCATTTATTCTTTAAGTGATTTTATAAGAAATGTGAGGCCGGGTGCAGTGGCTCACACCTGTAATCCCAGCACTTTGGGAGGCTGAGGCGGGTGGATCACCTGAGGTCAGGAGTTCAAGACCAGCCTGACAAACATAGTGAAACCCTGTCTCTACTGAAAATACAAAATTAGCCAGGTGTGGTGGCGCATGCCTGTAATCCCAGCTACTCGGGAGGCTGAGGCAGGAGAATTGCTTGAATCCAGGAGGTGGAGGTTGTGTGATCACACCACTGCACTCCAGCCTGGGCGACAGAGTGAGACTCTGTCTCAAAAAAAAAAAGAAATGTGATATTGTCCTCAGTTTAAAGATCTGGAAGCAGAAGCTCAGAGAAGCAAGTTACTTGCCCAGAGTTTCCATAGCTAATAAGTTTATACAGTAGATCCTAAAAGCCCATTTTAGTTTCCTACTATTAAACTGTGTTGTGCATTTGTATTAATACATAGAAGCTTTGATAAACAGTGATACTACTTTATTGGCCTAAGAGGAGCCTGATGGTAAGAGCCTGATACAGTTTTCATATTTCAAGGAAAGTTGTATGGTAGTCCTGTGATTTGTCATTTTTGCAGACAATGTAAAGATGAAAAGCAACTTAATTGTATTATTTAGATATAGTAGAAATCTGAATTTGTATAATTGTTATCGGTGAATGACATCCAGCTTCTTGGCGTCTTGAACAAAAAATTGGACAAAACGTACAAACCAAGGAAAGAATTAAGCAGCAAAAGCAGGGATTTATTCAAAATGAAGGTACAATCCACAGGGTGGGACCAGGCCCGAGCAAGCAGCTCAAGAGCCCATTACAGATTTTTCTGAGGTTTAAGTACCCTCTAGAGGTTTTCTATTGGTTACTTGGTGTACACTCTGTGTAAATGAAGTAATGGCCCACAATCAATCTGTTTGGTTGTGGGAGGATACCAGTCAGAGGCTGAAGCAAAGCTACACCCTACATAAACATACAACCAATCAGAGACTGAAGTGAAGTTACAAAGTTATACTCTTGTGCAAATGAAGATTTGGCCCCCGACCATCCTGATTGGTTGTGGGAGGGGAACGATCAGAGGTACTTTCAATTTTTTTTTTTTTTTTTTTTTGAGACGGCGTCTCTTGCTCAGGCTGGAGTGCAGTGGCGCGATCTCGGCTCACTGCAAGCTCCGCCTCCAGGGTTTACGCCATTCTCCCGCCTCAGCCTCCTGAGTAGCTGGGACTACAGGCGCCTGCCACCACGCCCGGCTGTTATTTTGTATTTTTAGTAGAGACGGGGTTTCACCATTCACAGGATGGTCTCCATCTCCTGACCTCGTGATCCACCTGCCTCGGCCCCCCAAAGTGCTGGGATTACAGCCGTGAGCCACCGCACCCGGTACTTTCAATTTTTAGTCTGCCATGCAGAAAAAGGGTGGGGGGAGAGTACAAAGGGAGTAGCCACTGGTCCTTTTGCTACTTGGGCATGGAAAGTCGGGGTTTTCCTTTTGATTTAGTTCTAGAAAGTCAGCATGAATCGGCCTTAGGTTCCCTGCCTCCAGACCCTGTTCTCCTGCCTCATAATGAGTTACCAGTGCTGATTAAATGTCTCTTTTATCCCTGCATGATGGTGTGCATCTATAATCGCAGCTACTCAGGAGGTTGAGGCAGTGTGATTGCTTGAGCCTAAGAGTTTGAGACCAGAATGGGCACCATAGCAAGACCCTGCCTCAAAATAGGTACGTAGGTAGGTAGGTACGTAGGTAGGTAGGTAGGTAGGTAGGTAGGTAGGTAGGTAGGTAGATAGATAGATAGATAGATAGATAGATAGATAGATAGACAGACAGACAGTCAGTCTCCTTGAGAGGTTCTTAGAAATAAAGTAGGTCATAGTTTTCAGATTATTTTAAAGGGCTCTTCTTAGAAGCCTGAATAATATTTTGGATGTCCATAAACTCTATGATTATATAATTCAGGGGGCCCCAAAGTAAGGAGATACCAGGCATGATAGATACAGAAATGAATTGGGTGTATACATAAGAATGGAAAAAAAAAAAAAAACCAGAAATGGTTAAAGGTGAACTGAGACACAGTGATAGCCATTGCTATTTTTGAGGTGTTTTGTTTTGTTTTGTTTTGTTTTTGTTTTTGTTTTTGAGATAGTCTCACTCTGTTGCCCAGGCTGGAGTGCAGTGGCACAATCTTGGCTCACTGCAACCTCCACCTCCTGGGTTCAGGCAATTCTCCTGCCTCAGCCTCCTGAGTAGCTGGGATTACAGGCACATACCACTATGCCCAGCTATTCTTTTGTATTTTTACTAGAGACGGGGTTTTACCATGTTGGCCAGGCTAGTCTCGAACTCTTGGCCTCAAATTATATGCCCTCCTTCAGCCTCCCAGAATGCTGGTATTGTGAGCACATGCCACCACACGTGGCTCATTTTTGCATTTTAATAGAGACAGGGTTTTGCTATGTTGGCCAGGCTGGTCTTGTACTCCTGACCTCTAGTGATCCACCCGCTTCAGCCTCCCAAAGCACTGAGATTACAGGCATGAGCCACTGTGCCCGGCGTCTTTTTGAGTATTTTAAAGATAGTGTTAAAAGATTCCATTATAACCTGATAATCTAACAGAAGGAAATTAATATTGACTAGATGTCTGCTGGGGTACATTATGTATGTTATTTTCACATACATGTTTACATGTACCCAGTGAGAATTCTGATATTTTCAAAGGTTAAGTAATTTGCCCAAAGTTAGGCAGAACTCAGAAGTTAAATCCAGATCATTTTTACTCTCTAGCTCACTTTTTTTCTCATCTGCCTTGCTGCCTTCCCAAAAGAAAAACTATATAACTTAGTTTTGATCTGCACTAGAAATGTTATGGGTCACACTGGACCCTTTGTGATATTTTCGTATCACAGTAAACTCTTTCTAGCCTGGGCTCGCTCTAGGGAGGGGATAGCATGGTGCTTTTTGTAAGGACAAATGCCTAAAGCACTTGGCACTTTGACTTTGATTCCTTACAGAGTACAATGTGGTTATTTTCCCAAACTGTTACCCAATACTAAAATAATCAGAGATGCCATTTTGCTGGAAGTTAATATTGTAGATGCTTAGCATCATCTTTGGTGAAGACTCTACTATAGATATTAAGTAGAACACAACTGTTAGTTATCTTCATAAGACTTGGAAGAGTCCAGACAAGATCTGACTAAAATAGTCGAACAGCAGTGACAAAAAAATAACTTATGAGCTGCTTATGTAGCAAATTAATAGAAAGGCATTTAGGAAAAGAATGTTTAAATCAAGCAGTAGAAAACTGGGTAAGAATGTGAATAGATCACAATACTTAATCTTCTTAAATTAGTAAGATATTTCAAAATATAACTTACTCTGTGAGAAATCAGAATGGTGTTCAAAATGAGTTTCTAGCCTAAGCAACATAGGGAGACTCTCTCTCCACAAAGAAAAAAAGAAATAGCTGAATGTGGTGGAAACATGCCTGTGGTCCTAGCTACTCTGGAGGCTGAGGTGGGAAGATCACTGGGGCCTGGGCACAAGTACTTTCTTACTATATGAATCCACAGTCATTTGGAGCAAAATGCCACCCTTGATGTGTTTTCTTTCTTTTAATCATTTGAGTGAATTAATAGTGAGATATCCATGGTAGCTTTTGCCTCTATCTGCAAAACAATAATCTTTAAAGTAATTATCAGCTTCCTTGATCTGTCTTTGATATTTTCTTTACTCCTTGCCCCTGAGGTTGTTCTATGTAAGCAGCAAAAGTTTTCCCCTGAAGAATAATTGCAAAGACTGTGTTCGATTGTTAAGCACCACGTAGCGTTTTTTTTATTGCTGCAAATCTAAAAGGATTTGCTTGTACTCCTGGAAAATCTCTGAAAAGCATCCCATTAGTTTGCATTCGGGTCATAGATTTACTGCCTTTAATTTCCTCTTTGATTTACTAGTAAGTGCGTTTGTATGAAGCTGTAATTTATCCCCACCTAAAGGTATAAAGCTTTGTCTTGCCTTTAGCAAAATTCCACTGCAGTGAGTCATCACCTTCTGTAATATTAGTCCTTCCTCTAACAAACAACAGTAGTGCTTTGAATAAAAGGTCATTAATTTCATACATAAATTAAGTACCCAAAGCAATGAACTTTGTTAAGTAAAATGTTTAATGTGTATGAGTGCAGTGCAAATAAAATAAAAAATAAATACAAGTGACAGGTGAAATAATCCTGAATTAGTTTTTTTCCCTCAGTTGCTGATTCAGAGATTTTTATGAAAAGAATATAAATATCACAGAACAGAAAGAACAATACAATAAACAGTCATGTATGTAAATCACCTAGAATTAACATATGCCAACATTGACATGTTTGCCTCAGATCTCTTCCTTTCCTGTCCTGTCCTGTCCTATCCTGTCCTGTCTTCCTGTCTTTCCCTCCCTCCCTCCCTTCCTTTCTTTCCTTTCTTTCCCTTGTTTCCACAGTCTTGCTCTGTCTCCCAGGCTGGAGTGCAGTACATTTGATTAAATTAATTTATTTATTTGAGACAGTCTCACTCTGTCACCCAGGCAGTTCGGTGGTGCAATCTCAGCTTGCTTACAACCTCTGCCTCCCGGGTTCAAGTGATTCTCATGCTGCAGCCTCTCGAGTAACTGGTATTATAGTCGCTCACCATCATGCCTGGCTAATTTTTGTATTTTTAGTAGAGACGGGGTCTCCCTATGTTGGCCAGGCTGGTCTCAAACTCCTGGCCTCAAGTGATCTGCCCACCTCAACCTCTGTGAGCCACCGTTGCCAGGTCTGCATTTCATTTTAAATGAAATAAAGCATTGCAAACAGAGCTGAAGGTCCCCTACCCCACTTTAACATCTCTTTGAGGTAATTTGCTTTGGC